ATATTCTTTTTCTTTTATTATTCATATAAATATCTATTCCACACATCATTATTTTATCATTTTTCACTTCTGTTTCTTCACCCTTTATTCTGTTCTTCTTCAACTTATTCATTAGGCTTCTCACGTTCACAACTTATTCACCTTTTTGTTGTCATTTCTTTTCTTCATCACACAATCATTATCTATAACATTTCATCAATAATTGGTTCTTCCAAGATCACAAATATTATTTTACTATCACCAGATCAGATCATACAACAATATTTTCTATCCTTTTATATGAAACTATATCTTATTTTTGCAACTCATGGCATTCTAAGAATGATATCACTATACAATCCATGCTTCACATAGAACTTTTAAACTACTTTAATGCTATCAATATCAACCTCGAGTCTAAGAATATATCCAACGAACTCATCATCAATATGACTACTGGCTTCTTTATATATATATTTTCAGATAAGCCCTTTTTCTTTTGCATACTTCATATTTATTAGATTTGAATATGAACTAGTTCTAATCATTGCTTTTGCAAATTCTCTATTTATTTTCACCCTTTTTACCACTTCATTATTTTCTATATTTATATCATCAACTTTTTGTATCATTTTATCTTTTTCTCTACACTTCAAACTTTCATGATTCTTTCTTCCAACTTCTACATAATGAACATCTATTACCTTATTATTTAAACTTCATTCATAACTTTGATCTTTCATAGATAGATACAAATAAGCCAAGTACCCTTTACAGCAACACAAGTAACACAAATGCAACCTACTTTTTCATTGTTTCTTTTGAAATATTCTTAGGTTCTGTATAACTTCTTTGACCACAGTTTTCACAATGTTCTTCACCAATGTTACTAAGTAATTTTCATGTTCTATTTCTTTCAAACTCTAATTCCGTTAAACAACATCAACTTGCCACCAAGGCTTTTCAATTTGCTACTTTGACAAGGTTTTCTTAACCTTGCACTTAGCAAATACGATAAATTTAAATAAAGTTTTGCTAGTAGAATCTTCGTTTGCCCAGGTCTTTTTATGTCACATAATTTTTTGAACTACTATATACTTGTTGACTTTACTAATGGTCTTTATTTGGCAATTAAACATCGATAGAGTATTGTGCCAGATACTATTACCAATAACAATATGCTTACTAAAATAATAGTTTATTTACTAAAAATAGCTCAAAGAGATAATAAGAGTGAAAGTAAGGCCCTTCTTTATTTAGATTGATGCCTTATATATTATTACTAATTGCTATTGATTACTATATTGTTCATGCAATTACTATTATTACTAATCACTAATAATTATTACATAGTTTATACAATCACTATTTTAGACTTTTAATCATATTGTGATTACCTGATATAGACTATGCATTAATTAGATCATAATATTTGATCAACATATACCCAATCACTAGTTATATAGGTACTGTGTAGCACTACGACAATAGTAAAAATTGAAGACAAATTGGTTAACAAAAAAACTTATCTTTAAAATTTGATTAGTACAGTCAAACCCTCAATAGTCACCTCCTCTATAGTCACAAAATTGGTATAATTACAAATTTATTTTTACCAATTATTTATAACTAT